CCGCGCTGGGGTGCCTCAGCCTCGACCCTCGTCCCTCCGGCTCTGCGCCGGGGAGCCTCTTCCTGCCGCCGGGACGGACTGGTGCCGACCTCCCTCCCATCCCCTCTGCCCGTTGCTGGTTTCCCGTGCCTTCCCCCGGGAGAGTGGCCTGGCCAGGCGCTGCAGGACCCTCCGGGCCCGGTCTTGAGTCTGCAGGCCCCCAGGCCTGCAGTCTTAACGTGGCCTGCAGGGAGCCCAGGCCTTTGGCCATTGCAGCTCTGATCCACCCGCCTCGTCCGTGAGCCGGTTTGCTCAGGTAGCTCGGCTAGTTCAGCCTCAGAAACGTCAGGAAGGGATAAACAGTGATGTTCAGGGGGACTAGCCCGTTCGTGATATTTGCCATAGAGCAATGAGATACAGCAGTGACACAGGAGGCGCTTTTCCGTTGCTCTCTAGCAATCAGTGGCAAACACTCTTCTCACTGGTGTGTCTTCTAGGACACTGTTGCGGGTGATTGCATCACGCAGACTGGGTCTGCTTCCTGATAAAGTACTGTCTTGAAAATGAGCTCATATTCCCCATAAAAGTGCTGTGACTTTTAAAACTGAGTGTAACAGACACTTAGAAGCTGCTGACTAGTGGTTGTTACCTTGCAGCAAAGTTATTTTTTTGCAAGAGTTTAGATGGGCTAAGTTCAGTTACTTGTGATGAAAGGTTTTGCAAACAGTCTTCACAGACCTAGGATTGTTGTATTAATTTGTGCTTTAATGTGAGAATGTTGTAGACATTGATGTGTCAAACAAAGTGTCCGGTATTTCCATAAGATGCTAGTATCTTACAAAGTAAGCAACTGATTAATATCATCCACATGTTTTTGCCTTAGGACTTCTCCACGACTGCTTTGTGTAGCAACGCAACAGAAAAATACTGGCCAGAACTTGGAAGAGGACCAGAGTCAGAGCCAAAATGAGCAGAAGGTTGAACCCAGCTCTGCTGAAAAAATGCTAACTGAAGAAAAGGCCAAACTGGAAGAACAACTAAAAGAAGTTACTGTAAGTGTTTTTTGGTTGTCAGGTTGCATATTTTACAAGCTGCGTACCTAAGAGTGTTCATTACAGGTTTTCAGTGCACAATCTGGATACAGTTTTGTGGCTGCTGTTTAGTTGTTGAATAAAATCCTGCAATTCAATTATTTCTTTAAACTTGAGACTAGATATGCTACAAGGCCTGAGATGCATCCCTGGTCCAAAATTAAGATTTCAGATAGTTTCTTTCTGATTTCTGGATGGAATTGGACCTTCTTCAGCCTGAAAATTTGTTACTGAGTTGTGCTGACTCAGTTCACTTAGGTTTTTGCTCAGTGGAGAAATAATTTTTGGAAACCTATGGTAGTGTTTGAGTGTGTCTTCCATGTGTGTATTTGTAGGCTTGTGTTGATGTGTGTGGTGTGTATAGGCTTTCTGAAAACAGCTGCTGGCTTTTCAAAGGTCGGGGTTAATGATGCTTAGCTTTTACATAATAGTGTACTTACTACATAAAAGTGGGAGTTTCAAACCTTCTTCTCTGTTGGAGGTCCCTTCAAACACAAGGCCAAAGCATCACATTCCCTCTGTCTGACCTAATGTATCTCGCATTCTCTCCCATATGTGACTTCAGCAGAGGGTGAAGGATGCCCTGAGAGGTGGAAGACGTGGATTAAACAAAAGTGTTGCTTTGCTGGATGAGTGCTTTATGTAAAACGTCTTTCTAGAGCATTTGAGACTTTGAGAGGTTGCCCAGAACCTTCTATAGAAGCAGGACCTATGGATCATAAGTGGATTGAGTTCTGTTTCTGTTGCCCTTCCCAAAGCACTGCAGGACAAAGCTGATAGGTCTCAGTCAATAGCATTTGCTATTGGCTACCTGATGTTGCTCGTCAGTCACCTTGTTGACTGTTTTTATTCTGTGTTGAGATTCTTCGCTAGCATGTGAAGGTCAAGCATATTCAGAGTGGAATTCAGAGCATGGAGTTCTGCGTTAGGTGGTGCAGCGCTCAACCTGAAATGCCTAAGTTTATTGAATTTCATTCTTAGTACATCTGCTGCTAGGTGGCCATATTGCTAGGAATACACCAAAACTTGTCCTGAACAACAGAGGAGTTAGACTTCATACTTTGTAAAGTTTCAAAAAGACTGGAGGACACTCTGTGGTGTGTCTGGAGAGGGAAGAGACAGTTTGAAAGTTGTGACTGGGTTGAATCTTGTTTGCCATAGTGTCAAAATACCTTATGACTGATAAAGGCTTTCTGTGAACACATATCAGAAAAAGCAGAAATCTTTGATTCATAAAACTTGATGTATCTGTAGAGTTAAAATTTTTTTCCAGCTAATCCGTTGACAGATACTGGGAGTCTGGAAACCCATCTTACTTCCTTTCCCTCACTTCTGTTTGCATTGAAGCGAAGCAAACATCTGCCTTGGTAGGAAGGATGCTGTGGTAATTGGCACGTTGTCTGCAGATTACTCTTTGTATGGTGGGTTTAGGTTATGTAACTGTTTAAAATGCTGTTTTACACTGAATATGCTGTTTTGAATTAATGTCAACTACCCAACCACCAGGAATGAAATCTCTTCTGTTACTGGTTTACCTTCCTTAGGACAAGTACAAGCGTGCCTTGGCAGATGCTGAAAACGTGAGGCAAAGAAGCCAGAAACTGGTAGAAGAGGCAAAGTTATACGGTCAGTGGAAGCTCCTTTTGTGTATACTCCTAAGACCCAGGAAATGCAAAGCCTGGAAAATTGAGCTGACTGTCCCACAGTCTTGACAAGTTGTACTTCCCAGCAATTCTGACTCCTTGGTTAAAAAATGTATTTGAGGCAGAGAGGTTTGAACAGTTCCTCACTTTGCATCAGAATTGAAATCATCTTGATGGACAAGGGCAAGACTGAAACTGCTGAAGTCAATAACTTGAAACTTTCTGTAAATTTGCTACCTGATTTCTTACGATATGTACTGCACTAGTAGATTTTTATTTTTTTTAGTAAGGTTTGCAGCCTGAAGTTTGCCTTTTTCACGTGCTTTGGTCTCAGAACTGGCTGCAAAAAACTGAACCAAGAGCATGGAGTACTAGCTTTCCTTCTGCTTTGGGTTTTTATGTTCTTGGTGTTTATGTGTTTGGGGGAGGGGATTTAGCCTTTTATATTTAAGTAATTTTTCTGTTCTTTTGAAGGGCATAGTTTTCAAACAGAAGTAATACATTTAGTTGGGTGGATTCTTTTCAGTGGTAGGAATGTACAATCACTGCCTCCGAGTGCTAGAAACACATATTTCTTCGAGAGCCAGGCTACTCATGTCTAATTTTAGCTTTTTGACAATTCAAACACAAATCTGTAAAACAGAAATTGTATGCAAATACTGCAGCAGCAGAGTGCTATGTCATCTTAGTGTTTGACTGTCACTCTGGCTTGAAAAATGAGTTGGCCGTTTTTGCCACACACTATACACAGCTGTATAGTTTAATTCTGAATACAGAAGTTTTAACTTCTGAGTACAGGGTCTTCAGTTAATGTGTACTGTAAGCAAAAGCATTTCTCAATTACATAGTATTCTTGTACTGTTTTCATGGATGTTTGAATGCTTCGTCCTGGAGTTGATTTTCATTAAGCATTGTTTCACTAATATGCTACTTAGTGCAGAAGGACTTTGAGTCTAATCTGAGCTCAGAGATGCTACAACAGAAATAAATATTCAAATAAAATACCTCATGAAAACTAAATTACAGGTAATCTGCACAATTATAAGTTTTATCATTCATATGTTACTGCTTTTTCTGTTGAAGAGAAACTCATTTCTGAGATGTGCATAAATTCACAGAAATGCAGTCACAGGTATCTGCAGAAACAACTTAGGCAAAAAACAAACCAAACCAAGCCACCTTCTGAAGAGTTTTTTTAATTTGGTTTGATCCACATCACTAGACAACTGGTTAATCTATGTTTGAAATACTTCAGCCCTCACCAGTTTTAATTTTAATTTAAAACCTTGATTAATTTGTTCATTTTTGGAACTACTTGGACACTGTTAGTTACTGTTCTATAAAGAGTTTGAGTCTCTACAGAGTTATGCAGTTGTTAAACTCCTTTCCTGAGAACTACCTGATCCCTATAGATCTTGCAAGGTGCTTCTGTAGGGTTGTTTGTGGTTTTTTGTTTAAACTGAAGACTTGTCCTCTAGTAATGTTCTTACCGTGCCTTGGTAAGGAAAAAAAAAACTAAAATGTGAGCTAGAATTACAAAGACTGCCTGTGGCTCAAAAAAAAAAAAGAATAAGGCTACCAAAATGCAGTGCTGTTTTTCATTGGCTTACCTCTACATGGAAATGTGTTTATTCTACTGAATCATTTTGATTTTTTTTATGATTTCTACAGATTCTTGTACTGTGAGCCAGAGAACAGCTTCAGGACACGGGCTGTCGTTAGCTTAGGAACTGTTCAATCTTTATAGGACTCTGTAAAAGCGGTTTGCAGTAGGAGGGAGAGGTGTGAGTTCTTTTCATTCAAGGAAGAATCCCTGTTCTTCTCTTGGACTCCTCATCAGTCTGACTACATGCTTTTTCTTCTGCAAATATTTTTAGCACATCAGATTAAAGGGTAGGAATAGGGCAACATAGTACTTTGAACTTGAGATGAATCCCAGGATAAGAGAGACATGAGGAAATTGCATTAAGCCATCTGAAGGTTTTGGTAACTTTGATTAGAATTTTAACTGTTAAGGTCAGCTCTTTTAAGTATTAAAAGTTGAAACACATTTTTTCCATAGAACTAGAGGAGGTGGTATGGATTTCAAGGTATCTGTAATGGTTCTGTATCATCGAGTAAAGCTGGCAAGGATGTTTTACCCAGAATGTTTACAGTATCACATATCTTGTTAAAAATCTAAAAGCACAGATTATTGCTCCAGGTTTTGGGGTTGTGTGTTGGGGGTGGTTTTTGTTGGTACTATCCCATTCCCTTCTATTTCTTTTTAGGGATTCAGAGCTTCTGTAAGGACTTACTAGAAGTTGCAGACATTTTGGAGAAAGCAACAGAAAGTGTTCCGAAAGAAGAAATTAAGGATGAAAATCCTCACTTGAAGAGCTTATATGAAGGTCTTGTTATGACAGAAGTACAGATTCAAAAAGTGTTTAAAAAACATGGCCTGCTCAGACTGAATCCTGTCGGAGCCAAGTTTGATCCGTATGAACACGAAGCATTGTTCCATGCTCCCATGGAAGGGAAGGAGCCTGGCACTATTGCGTTAGTATCCAAGATCGGCTATAAGCTACATGGGCGTACGCTGCGGCCTGCCTTGGTGGGTGTTGTGAAAGATGCTTAACTGCTCAATCTGAGAATTTAAAATGCCATACAACTATTAAACAGCTGGATGGTTTTTCTCTTACATCATGCTTTCCTTATTCCTCTGCCCCCTGAGAGGTGTAAATGAACTGGTTGGGGTCTCCCAGTGAAAATGAAGCAACCGATGAAATTCTTCTGTTTAGTGGCCTTCAGCATCACTGTTCTGGAAGCTCTCTCTCTTCCTAAGTGTGACATACAAGAGCCATTAAGCCCTCTAATGCTTTACATTAGATTACTTTTTTTTTTACAACTATTGCTACTGAAGGTGTGTTAAATTGAAAGGAACAAAACCACAAGAATTTTGCAATCTCACATTTATCACTGTGTGTAGATTGAAAATCCAAATAGTGGTTCAAACACTTTCTTTTGTTTTGTGGAATCTGATGTTGCAGAAGTGGGTGAAGTAGTGCAAATAACCCATTTTCTGCAAGTGTCCATCAGCTGTTACACACTGATGTGATGATTGTTTATTCAGAAATCATCTTTCTCAACAAGTGAAATTGAAACCTGTGTGAATTCTGACCTGTAAATAAAAGGCAACGGAGAGTAGACATCTTTTGTAATTGTTCAACCCTTTTTCTTCTGTAGTAACATTGACTCAAGAAAACCATCAAATACTTGTATGGCATTGAAGAACCAAGAGAATTTATCCTATCTCTGGATTTTTAATTTAATATTGTATAAATTGGTTTAAACAATTTTAGTAGTCTTGTAACTTCCAAGCTCTACAATCAGTTTGTTATGCAAACTGTAGTTACAACCCTGCTGAAAGCCAGAATAGCCAAAGAAGTGAGTAGCTAAGAGTTTGATATATACTGTCTTTTAGAATTACATAAATAATTGCATGCAATTAAGTGGCTCAAAACCCATGAACTTAGTTTCAACTCCATTTCTTGCATTTACTCAGCTTGGATCTTAAGTTGCGACAGGACTTTTCCCCTATGCAGCTCTTGCCATGTCTAACTCCACCTGCTGCTCCCAGCCTTGCAGAATCAGGTTAAATACGACACGATTGACTGACTGCTTTGTCCTACATTTGTCTGGTCACCTGAATAGGAGTGGATGGAACTTGGCAAATTACACAACTGACAAAGCATCTGTCCTCTTATATCCTCAAAGCCCGCACATTTAACACACAGGACAGATACTTCAAACTTAACGCATGTTATTAGGACCTGGTAAACAGTAAGTACTTCTGAATTTTTCACCCTTGTTTCTGGTTGTCTTGGATTAAGGAGCTTCTTACCTAAAGGTCAAGTATTGATTACTTTTTTTTTGCTTCAGAGTTTCCAACAGCTTACTGAACACTAGATCTACTCCTGGTGAGAAGTGATTACTTGGTCTTTAGGGCTTTTTTCCCAGTCCTGGTTTTCCTCATGGGAAATGGACAGTTAATTAGGAAAAAACCTAAGTGCATACTACTGATCAAGGGTTAGTCATATTTAAGGATCCATTCATTCTTTCTCATGTGTAGGAAAGAAAACCAATGCTTTGACTGGGCAGGGGAGGGACAATAATTTTTGATGCATGTGAGAAAACAACTACAGTGTTAATTTTTGTTAAACTAATCAAATACAGGGATCAAAATACAAAGATTGAGTGCAAATCTACAGAGGAGGAAAAAAAAGGGGATTCCATCTACTTACGTTGAATTGGGAAGTAACTTACTCCCATCTGGGTTAGAGGATGCTGTAGCTGTGTGAAGCAGGATTGAAGAAACTGGTTTTGTTGCACTTTGATTGGAACCTGTGCTCAAGTGATAGGCCATAAAGGGACCAGGGTCAATTTATGTACCTTTTAAGAACTGTCAAGTGTCATTCAGCCCACTCCCAACCCCTCTGGATCTAAATTAAATATAGTAACTTCATTAATATGGAGGTTTCGCCAGTAGGACAATTAAAACAGAGGGACAGCTTCCCTAGCAGACTAAGATTTTGTTAATGAGCTTTCCACTGCCTCACCCACAGTCTTTTTTGGACTACATTACTTCACTCAAGATGTCCTTAAACACAAATTGTTAAGTGTTCAGCACAAGACTCATACTAGTATCTTTAAAGCTGATAACTGTCTCATTTAAGTGGTTCCTCTTCCTTGGCCTGCCCTTTCAGAATGGCTTTCAGCAAGGAGAAGTTCTGTCTTTACTGAGAGCTCAAACCACCTGTGTGCTCTGCCATAAAACAGTAAGAAGCACCAAAGATCAGAGGGAGGTGGTTGGGAAACTTAAGCATGAGAGCAGCCTACAAAGCTACCAGTAGTACCTCTCATTTAGCTATGTCATAAGACCACTTCTCCACCTGTTGTCATTTGGCAAAAACACATTGCCATTTGGTATGGCAAAGGCTTTAGCCATTTTCCTCATTAGGCAAGCTACATTACCATTAATCAATAATGGAAGGAAACTTTAATACAAGTTTATTTACCAATATACAATGCAAAAACCTAGTAAAATGCTGAGTGTGCACAACATCAGTTAGGTTTTACATGATTTCAGCACAGGCATTTGTGTGTCTGGCACAGCTCCGCCAGTACACTACGCAAATGAGTGCAACATTCCCTTTAAGGAAGAAGCTGATGAGCTGAACATGCTCACCAGGTACCTTCCTTCACAGTATTTAATGCATTATCACTTAAGAGCAACTGGAGCACATGCAAAAAACATTTTGCAAGAAGAAATAGTAAACCAAAAGGCTAATGAAGTCTGTTACAATTGCAAAGAAATTAGATGCAGTCACCGCACAAGAGAAGAATGGTGGAGTGCTTAGTCTGTGCGATTTACAAGGCAGTTTATGGTCAAGAGACTTGTGCAAACCTACTAATGCTGTTCTTAATGCTTGCTGGGACTGCAACAGAGCATAGGGCAGGAGGGTCTGTATCCAGAACACCCTGTAACAAGCCCTTCTGCGCTGGGTAGTACACACAGAATGGAGACTAATGCTCCCTTGCTACCTAGTGAGCAAATGCTACTGTAAAACATCACTGGGACTGGACTGATTGAAGTAAACGTACAGCATTAAAACAGACTTGTTGCTGCCTCTATCAGTAGCAGAAGATCAGTATTCCGAACAGCTTATGGAGTGTCACATTTTCATAGGCTTACATCAATGCTGTTAAGACAGATACTATCATTAGTAATATCTTTAATTAGAAAAGTCAAGAGCATTAAGCATTTAAAACACCTTTTCATAAGCAACATGAAGGCTAGGTTATTTGTACAGTACAGGAAGCACTTCCAGATCAACACAAGATACAAGCTGAAGAGCTCTTTGCCATGTTTGTTCTCAGCCCCCTCACCACAGAAGAGAAGCAGCATAGCTCTAGTAAGTAAGTTGCTGGGTTAAGATAACTGCATCTCAACTTAGAAACAAACAAACAAAAACAGCAGCTCATAACAAAGGAATGCTTAGACTAAATCAGTTCCACATGAAAATATGGAACAGCAGCATCCTCTAGTGCAAGTCACCTTTAAAATCAAAAGCATAGCTGACAATGAGACATTGCTTCTAGGGAAGCCCTTCCCAAGGGACTAGAATTTGCTCAAGCAAACATTTACCACCTTGAATTTGCTTGCAAGTATAAAATAAATATTGATATCCATATTTCATACATTAAAAATACTTTATTTTACATTCACTTTGATGTTCAATAAGTTACGTCTAGCACCAAAGAAATATTTTGGAGGGGCTGAGGAATTAAGAAACTACAAAGTGTAAATGCAGAATTCACTTCAACATTTAAATGACTTGTTGGTGCCTAGATTTTTTTTTTTAAATTATTGTTCAGATAGGCTTTAGACTATTGCTTCAGTTAGACTTAGATGTGCCAAAACACTAAAAATATAAAAGTCACAGATTTGAGAAAAATAATAATTAAAAAAAAAAACAAAACAATTCCTTTAAACTCCCAGTTACATGCAGAGTTCAGGCTCCAGAATGCTATCAGTAATGGTGTGTTACGGCAGGTGGGCAACAAGTTACAGAAGAACCAAATTGTGTAACTGAAATACTAGAAAGAAAGGCTGAGCTGAGCTTGCTTTCCACAGGAGTAGGACAGAGAAAATAACCAAGGGTTTATACCTTATGAACTTGTGTGCCGTTTGTACATGCACATAGGGTGGGAGTGGTCCTTCAAGCTACTCAGCACATCGCAGTTAGTGCCACTGCTGCCAAGGAGAGGCAGCTTTGTCTCAGGTATTCCACAACAAACCACTTATAGGTAAGCCAAACAAAGTATTACATCTGAGAGGATGCAGCCCTTCCCTTTTTTGACGGGACATAACATCACAAGCTCAAAAGAAAAAGGCACTAGAGTTTTGGTTTTTTTCTTCCTTACAAATGCTGGCTTTATAATTGTACCCCTTTTGTTCTAAATTCACTGGTAACACTATTTTGGTAATGCTGGATATATTAACTGAAACCCAGTTCTGATCAGTATACCTCTGCCAAGTTGCAGAATTAATACTGTTTTAAGATTTTGTGGTATCCTCACTGACTACAGCCCAAAGCATCAAACCAAGATTACATTTCCAGTGCTTGCACTTGTTCCGCAGCTAGTCAAGGTCCCTGTTTTGGCACACCTGCACTCCAGAAGACCTGCCCAGCTGGCCTCCGGTCACCGCTTCTTGCTCTGGATGTGACCAGCAGAGAGGCACAAGTAACACTGTGCTGTCTTCCATGTGGCAACCACCATTTTTTATTCATTTGGTTAAATAACAGCACAGGAATTTAAGGATGAACGGAGTATATAAATCCTTCTCTAGCCCTCCCTTCCCTTCATCAGTGGATCTTACTAGGACAGTACTGTGGATCAGGTATTGCTGTTACGTGCTGTGTTACATCACCAGCTGGTGTCTGTCATGAGCGCCCACTTCAGACTAGTTCCTATGAGTTGTGATGAGTTACCACTTGAGGTGAGCTGTTCTCACTGCAGTGGGCTGCATTCACAGTCCTACCATGTCAGTAACTTCAACTTCCACACATTTAGTCCAGTCCGTGTCAAGGTACGTGCAGTTGGAACCCTGCAACAGCTGATTTACAGCTCCGTTCTTCAAGAGTGCATTAGCTGTGCATTTTGACCTCAACTCTATCACTTTGCTTTTTAAAAACAAAAATGCAATCTCAGCGATCACTATCCATTTGAGAATCTCGCTCCCTTTCTCTGTCCCTCCCAACCAAACTTGGGAGGCAGCTACGCCTCCTCAGCCCATACACGCTCAGAAGTTACAGAGACCAAAGCAGGAGTAGGCTGCCCCCTGCAAGAGGAAACAGTGATTTCGCTGCCTGAGGCTCAACTGCTGCAAGACAACTCACTGTCAATTTTCCCCAAATCCCATTCCTGGCCCAAATCAGCCCCTTCACAGTAAGCGCTGACAGCTCTTCCAGAACACAGCAGCACAGCTGCCCTGTACTCCTGCAACTTTGCTACTAACAAGTTAACATCAAAGCTTCAGCGGGGTCTGTGTCAGCAAAAACTCAAGTCAAAGCTACATCTGGACCAGCTGGGTGTGAAGGCAGCTCTTCAAGAACCCTTCTCACAGCACAAGTACCTGAAGATACCTCACCTACCTACGACATTTCTTTCCTTCCCCTCCCTGCCATGGCTTATCCCTCGACAGAAACTCTCGCCTGGCTGTCCCAGCACCTTGGCTGCAGTTACTAAGGAGCAAAAGCTTAGCAATGGTCACAAAAATCCCCGCTC